TAAAAAAGGGGGAAAAGAGGAGTTTTTGCAGCAGAACTCACCCGCATGGCGGTCTCGAAGGAACCGGCCAGGATGTGATCCACGGGCAGCTGGGAATTGTTGCACCAGGCCTGGGAAAAGGGGAAAAAAAAGGGAAAAAAAGGATGGGAAGGGATTCCAGGCACCCCAGAAATCCCAAAAATCCCAGAAAAAACCCCCCCAAAATCCCAGGAGAAACAGCACAAAGATTTTAGAAAAAAACACCCAAAATCCCAGGAGAAACAACACAAAAATTCCAGGAAAATGCAACGCAAAAATTCCAAACAAAACTCCAAAAAAATCCCTGGAAAAAAATCCCCAAAAATCCCAGGAGAAACAACCCAAAAAATTCCAGCCAAAACCTCCCAAAAATCCCAGGAAAAAACCCACAAAAATCCCTGGAAAAAAACCCACAAAAATCCCAGGAAAACAACCCCAAAAATTCCCAGGAAAAAACCCAAAACCCCCAGAAAAACAACCCCAAAAGCTCCCAGGAAAAAAACCCCAAAAATCCCAGAAAAAGAAAACCCAGAAGAGGAGGAATAAAGGAGAAAATTCCCATTTTTCCAAGGGAATTCAGGTTTTACCTGGGCCGGGCTGGTGCCTTTGGTGGGCGGCACAAAGAACCCGTCCTCGGCTGCTCCGGAGGGACCAGAGGGAACGTCCTGTGGGAATGGAGAGAGAATTCCCAAAATTCCCAAAATCACAGAGGATTCCCAGAGAATTCACGAGGAATCCCCGAGGAATCCCCAAAAAAATCACAAAGAATTCCAGAGGAATTCCCAAAGAAATCCCAAAGAATTCGCAAAGAATTTTCAAAGAAATCCTAAAGAACTCCCAAAGAAATCCTAAAGAATCCCCAAACAAATCCCAAAGAAATCCCCAAGAATCGCCTAAGAATTCCTGAAGAAATCCCAAAGAATTCCCAAAGAAATCCTGAAGAATTCTGGAGAAATCCCTGAGGAATCCCCAAAGAATTCCCGAGGAACCTCCGAGGAATCCCCAAAGAAATCCCAAACAATCTTTAAACAATTCCCAAAGAAATCCCAAAGAATTCCTGACAAATTCCCAAAAAATTCCCGAAAATCCCCAGCTCGTACCAGCTCCGGGGGCAGATCCAGATCCTCCTCCACCTCCCATCCCCCTCCTTCCTCGGGCCCTTTTCCCGTCCCTTCCTCTCCGAATCCTTCTCCGGCGTCCAC